GCGACGATGTGCAACAGTGAGCTCAGCGGGGCCTGGGCGCCGACAAGGAGAAAGCGGCGGGGCAGGGACGCGCGGCGGCGAGGCAAGTCAATGAGGAGGAGCCTGCGAGGGACCCTGTCACGGAGGCAGTGGAGGTGAACAGGGACGCGGGCGCCACGGGAGGAGCCGGGAAGAGCAGCTGCAGCAGGACCATGGGGTTCGGCGCAAGGAAGAGCGAGAGGAGGGAGAGGGGATCGGGCAAAGGGAGACACAAGGCGGCGCAGGAGGGAGAGATGGGATTGAGCACGCCTCCTGGCTCGATGCGTGCGTATGAGGTAGCGGCGCACTGGAGAGAACGAGGGAGAGGGGAGATGGGGATCGAGCTAGGGTTACGGGGGGAGCTTTACTGGGCCTTAGGGAAGCCGGCCCAGGGAGAGGAAAGGCTGCGCCTAGGGAGGTTTGGGCCGGAAGTGGATGGGCCCTAGAGAGGCCTGGGTCTCTCTTCTCCCTTAAGTCTTTAAAAAAACCTTCTAGAAATCAGAAAACCGCAAAGAAAGAAAGGAAAGGAAAGAAAGGATTAGAGGAAGGATTTGGGCATGCTGAATATTTTTCCGGACTCACAAAAATATGCTCGTTCCGAGAAAATAGAAAAGGCCATGATAGAAAGATTTAAATTCAAACTCATTTGATTTAAATTCAAATGATTTGAATGGGAAGTGGGTGATAGGAGGTCCAAAAATGTTCGGATACTTGGTGGAGCTCCGGAAAATAGAGAAAAGATATATAGCAAAGATAGAGGCCAAGAGTTATGATAACTACAACATTGGGATTTTTACAAGTGTGTTATGGTGAATTCCAAATTAAAGAAATATTTTAATATAGCTCCCTACTACCGGGAGGATATGTTATAAAGAGAAGTCACCCTTCCCTCGATTTAAATGGATCGAAGATCCACACAAATTATTTAGTTGAGATGCAAAAGATTTATGACATGATGCAATGCACATGATGCAAAGATGAATGCAACAAACCAACAACTCACACGACGAAAACCCGGAAACCCTGGAAGGCATCTGAAGCTCCGGCCTTGGGGCGTCACAAGTGTAGGCATTCATAAGCACAAATAATATTGTCCGTTATCAATCTTCCCGGCACAAAAGCGGACTGTTCCTTTGATATTATATCTGGCAACACCTGTTTTAATTTGTTCGCAATCACCTTCGAAGCGATCTTATATAAAACATTGCACAGGCTGATCGGTCTAAACTGGGACATGTGAGTCTGATTGGTTACCTTTGGTATTAGGACAAGGATCGTGCCATTGATTCTTTTGGGGCTTTCTTCCCCCTCGGACAATTCTAAGCACTATGTTAGTGACATCCTCCCAACACACGTCCCAATGTTTCTAATAAAACAGGGCTGGAAAACCATCAGGCCCCGGAGCCTTCGTAGGGTACATCTGAAAAAAGGGCCGTTTTTACCTCCTCCTGTGTATATGGGGCACATAGGTCCCTATTCATGGCCGTTGTAACTTTGCACGGTACATGTTGAAGCACGTCTGCTATACCCTGCACTCCCTCTGATGCATAAAGTTCTTGGTAGAAATTGTTTGTCATGGCTTTTAACTAAGCTTTGTCCTCTACCATTACACCCAAAGTGTTCTGCAGCGCCTGGATCATATTTTTCTTCCTCCTCATGCTTGCTCGGAGGTGGAAGAATTTCGTGTTTTTGTCACCTGATGAGAGCCACTCAATTCTCGCCCGTTGTCTCCACATTATCTCTTCGCGGTGGTATAGTTCCACCAGTCTTTCATTGATCTTTAGTTCCACATGGCTTGGTGCTGCACGCAGTAGGTCGCCTTTCAGCTCATCCACCTTCTTCTTCAGTTCCTTTATCTCCTATCGCACGCTACCAAATGATTGTTTATTCCATCTGGTTAAACCCCTGGACACTCTCGACAGTTTATCTTGCAGCTGATGTACCATAGCGCATGGTCCCATCGCTGCCCATTCTATTTCAATTGTCCCCCTGAACTCCTCATGCTTTTCCCACATTGCCTCGTAACGGAAGGATCGGTTTTGCACTGTCTCATGTGCTCGGCCGAAATCCAGTGGTATGGGCCCATGATCCGAGGTTGCAGCCGAGAGATGCTCTACTGTCGCCATTGGGTAGCGCGCCATCCAATCAGTGTTAACCAGGGCACGGTCTAGCCTACATTTGGTGTAAGTGCCTCCCGCCACTCTTTTTTCAAACGTCCAAAACGGCCCTTGAAGCCGATGTCTAGCAACATGCAAACATCTGTGGCTTCTCGAAATGCTTGCATCTGGGCATTGCTACGTCTTCCGGTGCCCTCGTGTTCGTCTGGACGTAACACTCCATTGAAATCCCCCATGCACACCCACGGGAGATTGCTCAAAGTGCTAATATTCTTCAGAACACTCCAAGTTTGATGCCTCAAGTTGGTTTGAGCCTCTCCGTATACAACTGTCAATCTCCACTTGTCGTGACCCTGTTCCTATACAGACACATCAAGATGGTAACAAGAGTAACCCAAAATCTCCACATTTATTTCATTATTCCAGAAAATCCCTAGTCCACCACTTCTACCTCGGCTATCCACCACATAAGAACTATCATATCCCAAAGTACCAGCTAAAGCTTCTACCCTAGAACCTTCTATTTGCGTTTCAACAATACACAAAAGGGTAGGGGCAAATTTCCTCGCGAATTCGCGAAGTTCTTGGACTGTCGCAGGGTTGCCCACACCGCGACAGTTCCAACACAAAGTACTCATTGGGATGGGCGGCGCTCCTTGAAGGAGCCCGCCAAATTCTTAACAACAGTACTTGGGATGTCCTTTGCTTCATCTTCTAGCCTTGTCCTCTTCGGATCCCTATGCAGCATTGGGCTGACCATGTTATTTCCCATAACCACAAGAGCCAATTCAGTAGCATTTGGGCGCGTGTTGGATTGCAAGCCAGCACCTCCCCGATTCTGTCCAGGAGGTGTTCTGTCAACGCGCTTTCTACTCGCCTCATCCGTTGCCATATCATCTGTGACCTCCAGCTCGTCCTCCTAGTTTCCTGCCCCAAGATCCTCCTTCCCAGCAGTACGTTTTCCTCCTGATCTACCTCCTCGGCGACCCCGGTTGCCTCCTGGACCACGCCCAGGCCGCATAGTCCAGCTAGCCCGTAGGTCCTTGAAAACCAGAGACGATGGAGGGTGGACTCCATCACCATGTTCCTTGAAAACATGTCCTAGATGCCCACAAATTGCACACCAATCTGGCAAACACTCATATTTCACCCGGTAGATTTGTCTCTTCTAATTCCTGACCAGAGACACTGCATTTTTAGGGGCTTGTGGACATTGACTCAGACCCAAACACGATAAAAATTTCCAGCGAAGTCAAACGAAGCCGCTTCTGAGAATAATACTTCCCCTACTTTTGCAGCCAAGGACGGAACCAGATGTGCAAACAGGCTTGGTACATCATGGATCTGGATCCATATATCTATTATGTCAAGCTTCACCTTAGATGGCTGAGTCTCCCCGTCATAGGGGGATATGATGACCGCATGACCTCTAAAATTTCATGGTCCCTCCAGCGTGACTCTCTCCCAATCGGCAAGGCAGTGGAATTGCATAGTGTACATATTTGATTCAAGGGGCTTGAAGTTCACCGTCTGTGCGAGATCCCAGACCGATCTCATGTTCCTGAAGAACCATCCCTGACTATAGGGTTTATCGATGTGCACACGTGCCACCGCCATCCATCTAGCAACATGTTGGGGGACAGCATCTTCATCCACCACTACATCATCCATGTCGTCCTCCTGGAGACCCAACTCCGCCATGAGTTGCTCGATCTCTGTCGCGGAAGTGGAGCCGCCGGCAGACGCCGACCCTCCTGTACCTTCCGCAGCCATGACTGAAATCCTTACCCGATCTGAAGACACCGGGTAATGTTGAAGCCGAAAACCCTAGCCACCCGCCTGGACGAGAAGGGACAACAGACCCGGCCGGGGCGGTGATGCCAGTCGCCTAAATCAGCCGAGTCGATCCCCTGCCCAGATCGTGGGGAGGGAAGAAGAAAATTTTCTCAATGACGGCTGGGAGCGCCGCCGAGAGGAAAAACCCTAACTTCGTACGAGGAGAAGGAAAAACTCGGCGCAAACACGAGTGATCGCTGTTGGTCTACACGAGTTAGCGTGCGACATTGGAGGTCCTGGCTAGCGAGGCTAGCGTGCGGCGTATCAAAATTTATTAGTACCACCTCGCGTATATGTTTTAAATTTAAACTGAAAGCGTAAATTCTCAGGAAGAAGTGTATTGTGACGGTGAACCCACTGAGTCAATCCGTGCTTTATCCCTGTGCTGCAAATCTTCATCGTCCGATAGTAATGCCCCAACGGTCCAGATCACATTCCAACTATAGCTGGCCAAACGGGCCGGCCCGGCCCGGCACGGCACGGCCCATCCTAATCGTGCCTGGCACGGCTCGGCCCGCGAAGGCACGATTATTATACGGGCCGTGCCGTGCCGGCCCGCGTGCTGCAGCCTGCAGCTCAGGCACGGCCCGTATGCTAATCGTGCCGGCCCATCGGCCCGCTAGGCCCGCTAATATGCCTCCTATTTTGCGCACTGGGCGTTTTTAGCCTATTTTTACCTGTTGGGCCACATTAGGATACATAAAAAAAATAAAAAAAGATAACCAGGCCGTGCCGTGTCGGCCCGCGTGCTCGGCCTTCAGGCCCAGGCACGGCCCTTGGCGTGCCGCGTGCCGGGCCTGGCCCGTTTAGCACGTGCCGTGCCGTGCCGGCCCAGCTATCCCGGCCCGTTTGGCCACCTATAATCCCAACACACTGCCACTCTTGCGTAAACATCCCTCCAATACTCTATCACACACGAGGCACCTAACAAGCCAGGCCCGGATCACGCAGACACACTTCCACCGAATGGCAATAAGTTGGTAACACGAGGGTGGAAACGCACAACCGCCGCGACCTCGGACCCTGTCGATGGTGTTTATGCGATTCCGCCCCCAGCTTATCGTCTCCTCCCTCTCCCGAGCCCCTAAACCCAGCAGAACCCTAGCCCCACAGCCCCTCGCCGCCGCCGCGCGCCGCCGCTCCCTCACCGCGACCCTTTCCTTCTTCTCCTCCTCCTCCATGGCCGGGGCAGCACCCTCGGAAGAAGCGCTCCGCCGGGCGCTGGCGGAGAGGCAGGCGGCAGTGGACGCGCAGGCTGAGGCCGTGCGGTCACTCAAGGCCTCCGGCGCCAAGGTGGGCGTCGACGCGGCGGTCGAGGCGCTGAAGGCTCTAAAGATCGAGGCTGGCGCGGCCGCGCGCAGGCTGCAGGCCGCCGTCGGGTCCGGCGGAGGCGCGGCGCGGGAGGAGATGCGGCAGGCAGTGGGGAACACCCTCGAGCGGAAGCTCTTCTACATACCATCTTTCAAGATCTACCGCGGCGTCGCCGGCCTGTACGACTACGGCCCGCCCGGGTGTGCGGTCAAGTCCAACGTCCTGGCCTTCTGGAGGCAGGTGAGTGAGGCCGCCAGCCCATCTCGAAATGTCGTGGTTTATTTTTCATGCTTGTATCGTAGTCGATGTTGCCTAGCTGCTGCGATTTGATGTAGGGGTACTGGGGTAGCGATGATTTACCACTTGCACTGTGGTTTATGTGGAAATTGCATATGGAATCTTGATATTAAGCAAAGAAGACAGTTACCCATGTTTTAGTAAAGAATCTAGATATGGAATATTTCAAGTGCACACCTCTAAAGTCAATTAAACAAGCTGTTTTTAGTTTTTACATATCACTTGCATTTTCTGCTGCTGTAGTACTCGGATTACAATATGGCAATTTACTTATGACGAAGATTCCTGGTGTCAGTTCATTAGTACTAGTTGGCAAATATGGATTTTGTCGGGTCATTTCTATGCCTGATATTGGTGGATCAGTGTTCGATTTGCTTGTTTGTATTGGCATGGTTCTGTTTTTTTTTCTGAATTAGTTTCTGTGCTTGATGTTGGTTGGATTTAGATGCTCCAATCCATATTGGGGTACTGGGGTACTGGGGTAGCGATGATTTACTACTTGATGTTGCCTAGCTGCTGCAATTTGATGTAGGGGTACTGGGGTAGGGATGATTTACTACTTGCACTGTGTTTTATGTGGAACTTGCATATGGAATCTAGATATGGAAACTTACAAGTGCACACCTCTAAAGGCAATTAAACAAGCTTTTTTTAGTTTTTACATATCACTTGCATTTTCTGCCACTGCAGTACTCGAATTACATATGGCAATTTATTTATGACGAAGATTCCTGATGTCAGTTCATTAGTACTAGTTGGCAAATATGGATTTTGTCAGTTCATTTCTATGCCTGATATTGGTGGAGATCAGGGTTCGATTTGCTAGCTTGTATTGGTACGGTTCTGTTTCTTTCTGAATTATTTTCTGTGCTTGATGTTGGTTGGGTTTAGATAGTAATATATTTTATGGCGCTGTATTTTATGACATCATCTCGTGCAATTTGTTCTGGGAAGATGCTAATTTCTCCATTCCTTTTCCAGCATTTTGTTTTGGAGGAGAATATGTTGGAGGTTGACTGCCCCTGTGTGACACCTGAGGTTGTCTTGAAGGCATCAGGGCACGTCGATAAGTTCACCGACCTCATGGTTAAGGATGAGAAGACAGGCACATGCTATCGTGCTGATCACCTGTTGAAAGATTTCTGCAAGGACAAGCTTGAGAAGGATCTCACCTTGTCCCCTGAGACGGCTGCCGAGTTTAAGCGCGTCCTTGCTGTGTTAGATGACCTCTCACGAGAGGAACTCGGTGCAAAGATCAAGGAATATGGCATTGTTGCCCCTGATACAAAGAACCCACTCTCTGCTCCCTACCCATTCAATCTTATGTTCCAGACATCAATTGGCCCAACAGGTCTTAGCGTGGGGTAAGAAGATTACCAGTCACCACATTAATCATGTTTTTTGTGTTGAATTGACCAAACATGCTCATTTTTTGTGTGAACAAACAGGTATATGAGGCCAGAGACTGCACAGGGTATTTTTGTCAACTTCAAGGACTTGTACTACTACAATGGCCAAAAGCTTCCCTTTGCAGCAGCTCAAATTGGTCAAGCATTCCGTAACGAGGTCTGTGTTGTGTCACACCATGCTTTTAGCTTTCATTGGATTGTCAGTAACTGCCATTTCACTTGTTAATTCTTTGCATGTTTGCAATGGTATTATACTTCACTAACAGATTATTCTTCATATGATGATTCAGCACATAGTGTTTGCTTCATGAATTTAATCAAATGTTCAATCTCGACTTCTTTTTTTCATGGAATTTATGATTCTGTTGACTTAGACTACTATTTTTTTTATTAAAAATATTTATGCAACATGATTTTTAATGAATGATGGGCGTTCTTCATGTGGCAACAATACTGCTAAACCTAGACTTTTTTATATAGAGAATGTGTGGTGCTGTTGTTTAAACTACTCTACTTCTGTTTTTGTTAAAAATGTTTTGCAACATGATTTTTGAATGAATGGTTGTTGATCTTCATGCTGTGAAAAGAAGATGAACGGTAAATCTAGACTTTTTATACACAGAGTGTATTATGCTGTTGTTAAACTACCCACTTCCGCAACATGATTTTGAATGAATGATAGGTGATATACCTGTTTAAAATAAGATGCAACGTTCTCCATTTACATCACACTTCATATGATTGTTTTGAATACCTGCATGAACAATGTGATTTAAAATATGTGCTGTTATTTCATTATTCCATTTATATAAAACCTTCATTGCGTTCAGACTTGAATGCTTGGGAGAAATTTAGACCTGCTAACATACATGGCTAAACATACATTTGTCATGCACTATAATGTTATAAACATTTGAAGAGTGGAAAATTCGCTTGCAGTAGTAAGATATATATTCTTTGCATCCACTCACTACTTTCTACTTATTTGACAATCAGATCTCTCCACGTCAAGGTCTTCTACGAGTGCGTGAATTCACATTGGCCGAGATTGAGCACTTCGTAGATCCTGAGGATAAGTCACATCCCAAGTTTGTTGATGTTGCTGATTTGGAGTTCTTGATGTTTCCGAGAGAGCTGCAGCTCTCAGGGGAGCCGGCCAAGTTAACGAAGCTTGCAGAAGCAGTTTCGAAGGTTTGAACTTGATGTCTATCTTATCTTTTGTTGAGTTACTTGTTTTTCTTCTTCCGTTTGGATTAGAGGCAGTTGAGTTAGTCACTTTTCATCTTCTTCCACTTTGGATTAGAGGTGGTTCGCTTCTATTTCTAGAACTTATAATATGTTTCTTCCTTACAGGGAACTGTTAATAATGAGACACTTGGTTACTTTATTGGAAGGGTCTATCTTTTCCTGACACGTTTGGGAATTGATAAGAGCCGATTGCGCTTCAGACAGCATCTACCTAATGAGATGGCTCATTATGCTGCTGACTGCTGGGATGCAGAGATTGAGTGTTCTTATGGATGGACAGAGTGTGTGGGCATTGCAGATAGATCTGCATATGATTTAAAAGCTCATTCTGTAAGCTATATCTCATCCCATGAATACTTTTGCAGTTACTGATTTTAGTCCTTTGGACATGTTGCAATTGAAATGGAAGTCGCTCCTTTCATTCATTAATATATTTAGTCTCGACTGTGTTCTTGAGTGTGCAACTAATGTTGATAATGCTTTCCTGATTGGTGTGTCCTAGGAGAAAAGTGGCGTTCCACTTGTTGCTCATGAAAAGTTTTCAAAGCCTAGAGAAGTTGAGGTGAGTTATCTATCAGATTTGATTCTTCAGTATTTTTGGAGTCACTAATAATGTACCACTATTGAATAATGTGTGCTACTAGTTATGTTTTATTTTTGCTCCTGAAGGAGTATATTACAAGTTCCATCATCAAGAAGCATTCTTTCATGACATTATTACAGTCTTTGTCCTTTAATGCACAATCAATTAGGTCTACCATTAATATATCTGAATTTCCTTGCTGCTACAGAAACTTGTTATCGTGCCCTCAAAGAAAGACCTAGGGCTTGCTTTCAAGGGCAATCAGAAGATGGTGGTTGAAGCATTGGAGGTAACACATCTTGTGCTCTGTCTACAATTTCTTAGGCAAGTTTTATCATGTCTACCAAAGTAGAAACTTTTGTCATTGACTTTATTCTTGGACAAACAGGCTATGAGTGAGAAGGAAGCAATGGACATGAAGGCTGCACTGGAATCTAATGGGGAGACGAACTTCCAAGTTTGCACACTTGGAAAGGAAGTGGTGATTACAAAGAAAATGGTATCGATCAGTATGGAGAAGAAGCTGGAGCACCAGCGAGTCTTCACCCCTTCAGTTGTTGAGCCCTCATTTGGCATAGGGAGGATAATCTATTGTCTGTTTGAGCATTCCTTCTACACAAGACCTAGCAAATCAGAAGAGGAGCAGCTGAATGTCTTCCGGTTCCCTCCTATCGTGGCTCCTATCAAGTGCACTGTGTTCCCGCTGGTAAAGAATCAAGAGTTTGATGATGCCGCCAAAGTGCTTGATAAAGAATTAACAGCTGCAGGCATCTCACACATTATTGACACGACTGGTACGTGATATACCATATTGAGCAGGAAAATAGTTTCTCGACCATTACCTTTATTAGCTTCTTATAAATAAAAAAATAAAGAAACTTAAACAGCATTGTTTGTCATACCGCGAAGTATATCGTGGAATTTCATGATGGAAGCTGATGTGGCTGAATAGCTATATACACTGGGACATGTACAAATCACCATTGGACATAGCACCAAGGCTTACTAACTGCACATGCTCATATTGTTATTTGCTTCTGAAGGCATTTCTATCGGGAGGAGGTACGCAAGAACGGACGAGATCGGTGTTCCTTTTGCAGTAACTGTCGATTCTGCAACAGAGGTGACGATCCGAGAGAGGGACAGCAAACAGCAGGTGAGGGTGGGCATCGACGAGGTGGCATCGGTGGTGAAGGAGCTGACAGAAGGCCAAAGCACCTGGACCGATATTTCATTCAAGTATCCCAGCCATATCGGTCCCCAAGGTGACCAGGAGTAAGTTGTCTGGCTACAGTTTGCACCGTCCTCGTCCAGATCACCAAAACGTCAATTCATCTTCCAGTTGCCCGGTTGATACTGTACTGCTGTTGATGCGAGTTCTGCATGCATACATGCTGCAGACACCCGTACTTATTTCACCCATTGTCATTATCTTACCTATACATTTTGAGAATGTTTTACCATACACACACAATGGAATTGACATCATCTACCATACATTTTGAGTCTTAAGGAGTACGTCAAGTTGTAATGAAGCTATTGAATTTTCAATCTTTCACCTACTTGTGGCATCTCTTGTGGACAGTCGAAGATTTTTCTCGCCGCCCATGTGTTGGAAGTCTTGTAAGGTGGCTCCGGGTCTCCCACGCATTCTCCTCCACTACCTTTGACGCCTGTTTAACACGGCCTGGTACACGGACATCGCCATTGTCTCCTGAGCGGTTTAGGTGAAGATGGACCCTGCGGCCCAGCCACTGCTCGCCACGGCGGAGCACGACCACGAGGCTGACGGGCGCATCGCCGTCGTGCCCGGGAACGGAAACAAACACGCCGAGGACGCAGAGGCGGAGGAGATGTCCACGTCCATGCAGAGCCGGTTGGAGGAGAGCAGCACAGCCTCGGCTGGCGCCGGCGACGAGGCGGACGAGGACGAAGAGATGGCATCGCGCATGCAGCAGCGTCTGGACGCGCTTCCGGGGAAGCCGCACGAGAGCGAGCCCTTCACCATCTTCCGGGTGGCGGGGCCCATGCGCGACCGCAACCGTCACCTCTACGAGCCGCAGATGGTCTCCGTCGGCCCCTTCCACCGGGGCGCCGCCCGCCTCCGCGCCATGGAGGAGCACAAGTGGCGCTACCTCCGCGACCTCCTCGCGCGGGGCCACGAGCCGCTCGCGTCCTACGCCCGCGCCGCGCGGGCCCTCGAACCCGCGGCGCGCCGCCGCTACGCTGAGCCCACCGAGGACCTCAGGCCGCGTGGCTTCGCCGAGATGCTCCTCCTCGACGGCTGCTTCATCATCGAGTTCTGGCGAGGACGGCGCCGCCGACGCGCTCATCGACGCCGCCTGGGCCATGCAGAATGTCTACAGCGACCTCTTCCTGCTCGAGAACCAGCTCCCCTTCTTCGTCCTCGAGCGCTTCTACGCCATCGCCACCGGCGGCCGAGGCCGCGACCACCTCGTCACCAGCCTCCTCGCCAAGTACCTCACCGTCGAGACACCGCAGGACGCCGCCACGGCGAAGCCCCCCGACGGCGAGATCCTCCACCTGCTGCACCTCTACTACCACTGGTTCCTCCCACCACAAGATGAGGACGCCGCCGTCCCTCCCGCTGGCGGCAACAACAAGGTCACCGAGGAGGAGGAGGCGTTCAACGAGTGGCTGGCCAAGCCCATGGACGAGCGCTTGCCGTGGCTGCTCCCCTCGGCGTCGGAGCTGGAGGACGCCGGCGTCACGTTCCGGGCCAAGAAGTCCCCCCGGAGCCTCGTCGACGTGACGTTCCGCGCCCGCGACGGCGTGCTCGAGATCCCGGCCGTGGAGAGCTACACGAACCGCGCCATGTTCGCCAACCTCCTCGCGTACGAGCAGAGCCGGGGCCGGTGGGAGCTGCAGCGCCTGATGAGCTACGTGGTGCTCATGGCGTCGGTGGCATCGCACGGGCGGCGCGACGTGGACATCCTGCAGCGGGCCGGGGTGTTCGTCAAGGGGGACGAGGAGACGGCGGCGTTCTACGCGCACCTTGGCGAGCTCTGCGGCGGTGCCGCCGCCGGCACGCCGGGCGTCGCCAACAACTGCTACGCCGACATGTTCCGCGACGTGAGGGAGTACTGCGGCCGCAGCTGGAACAGGCACCGCGCCGTGCTCGCTCACGACTACTTCAGCAACCCGTGGACGAGCATGTCCGCCGCCGCCGCCGTGCTCCTGCTCGTCCTCACCGTCGTGCAGACCGTGTACACCGTGCTGCCGTATTACCACCCTTAATCATTGATCCATCATCCTGCATTCATGCATGCACCGAGTAGTCACAATCTTGGAGTACTCCCAGCGAAATAGTAACTGGTGAACGTTCGCCAGGGGGAAACTCCCAGCGAACGTCTTAGCTGCCACACGATCTTATTATGTAAACCTTTCAGCTTGAGCCGATTCTCCTGTCAATTTGCGTTGCTGTTCATATATATACGACATACGAGTGCTTCCTACTTTGAATCCTGCAGGACGCTGGATTTCAGTTGATTCTCTTTCCGTGTCACGATACAGCCAAACGTTTTAGGGCATGTTCGGAATGCATGTATGCAAAACAAAGGAACGGGGAGAAATAGAGGAATAGAAAAGAAAAGTGGACTGAATAAACAGAGTAAGAGCAACTCCCGTTTCGTCCGCCCATGTTCGTTTGAATCACTGTGGTCGAGAACACCGGCCCAATGCGCCGACTCATTCCCAAAAGCCGTCCGCTTCGCGCCTGCGCCAACCTATTTCCGACCCAAAATTGTGGTTGAAATACGTTCGCACCGCGCGTCTTCTCGGTGTCCGCCGCGGTCCCACTTGATGGGCACCCAACTACCACCCTTCGTATAATTTATGACGACTACTGATAGCAAGCCCACTAGTCAGCCAGTGGAAGCGTCCTTTCTTAACCCACACGTGCGCGGGGCCCGGCCTCATCCACTTGCATCCACATCTGGCTCTGTCAACGTTTTGGGAACCAGGGTATCCAGACTTGCCTGCCTGCGGCCCACGGCGTGGCTCCATCAGCGGTCTGGTACGGCCCACCTTCAGCATCAACAACACAAGACCCTCGCGAGGGGGCCAAGCCTCACGAGGCGGACGACGCAAAGACCTCCAGAAGAAGTGGCCTCCCTAGGCTGGATCCCGAGGAGCGGAGATTTCTATGCAGGCGCCCACCTCGTGAGGTTAAGGTGACGCAAGCCATGACGACCAAGGTCAGGCGGACGCCAGCGGGCGCGGTACAACAGGTTTTCTCTTTGGTGCTAAAGAGGCAAGCACACGCGCGGAGTCCCGAGGAATCAGCCAAAGGTTTTCATTCCCGTGCTACAAGACCAAGACCGTCAGGACGGCAGGACGGAGGTCATCGCCGAGCCCATCATGATGTCACGACCAGAATCTTTGCAGACGAAGACCACGTTTCGCCAGGATAAGATGTACTATTTGTCTCCCTTCAAACTTAGCCGTTGTGGGATTCCTTTCCGCCTTCGTTTTGGGGGAAGAGGACCAAGGTCACTATAATATAGCTTAGCCATCACCATAGAGGGGGACGGATGAATCGAGCCATCAAAACTCTCATCAGCTCACATCAACACAAGAACATGCCTTCTAAGGTTGTTCTGCCTCTATACTAGTTTATCCTCAGCCCACCTCGAGGCTAATCCACCACAAAGCAGTAGTAGGGTTTTACACCGCAAGGTGGCCCGAACCTGGGTAAACTGCTGTGCCTCTCTTCTTTCCCGTTCATCGAGCTAGGCCGTGAGCTCGACGAGTTGGTAGACCGGGGAGATTGAGTTCTTCGCACGCACCTCAGAGTTCGAATCTTCCTTGGGTCTGCGGAGCCCTGAATCTGACATTTCACGCGTCAGGTAGGGGTGCGTCGCAGCCTCTCTCCCACCGGTCGATCCGCCACCGTTCCGCCGTCCTCATGGCCGATGCTCGTCGAGTTTGTGTTGAGCGCTGGGCTGCCCTCACCGCCCGCGTCACCCAAACAGCACCTGCGGGCGACGGCGCCCCCGTCATTCCTCATCACCTGCGGCAAATGCCGCCACCGGCCCCGCGGCCCATGAGCAGTAGGCTTCATCGCTGCAGCCTTCTGTGTGGCGCGATGGGCGCACCGCCACTCCATCACCGACTCCGGTGGCTGCTTCGTCTTCCCATGCTCGTCGCGGGCCGGCGAACGCGTAGGCCATGCTGCTCATGGGCGCACGAGCTTCTGCGCTACCGCCCGACCGATGACCTCTACGAGGACTGGCTGGACGGCATTGCCGAGCTTGTCAGCATCGCCGGAGAGGCCCTTGCACCATCCCGCTCGCTGCCTCCCCCGTCGCCTCTCGCGGGCGACGTGTCTCACGATGCGCCTCCTCCGCCTCCCACGCAAGATGCCGCCCCCGAGCCAAGGCGTGAGGCCCCTCGGCGCGACCCGCCGCTCAGGGCGCCAGCGCACGACGAAGAAAGTTGCCAAGTGGTGCAGCGGCCCCAAGGAGAGGCGCGTGTGCTCCCAGCACCGCCACGTCAAGACCGCATGCCGCCCGAGGCGGTGGTGCGGGAGCGCCAAGACCAGGCTCCCCCTCTGTGGTGTCCCCATGAGCGCGGCGGGTTGCCGCGCGTTCACCCTAGAGCTGCGCCGCGTCGTTTGGTGTGGGAAGTTCAAGCCAGACCTGCCTCCAAGCTACGATGGCACCCCCAACTCTGCCGAGTTCCTCCAGCTCTACGAGCTGAGCATCGAGGCGGCCAACGGCGACGAGAAGGTCATGGCAAACTGGTTCCCTGTGGCCCTTAAGGATGGGGCGCGCTCGTGGCTCCTGAACCTCCTCGCGGGATTGATCTCCTCCTGGGATGAAATGCGAGAGTGCTTCATCACCAACTTCCAGGGCACTCGCGACCGCGCTCCTACCGCGGGTGACCTACGGCGCATCAAGCAGCAGCCAGGGGAGACCTTGCACAAATACATCCAGCGCTCAACAGCGTTCGTCTCAAGATCCCCAAGGTGTCGGATGAGGCCATCGTTTCGGCGTTCACTAATGGCGTCCGGGATGTCAAGATGAAGGAGGAGCTCACCATACACGAGGACATGTGCTCGGTTCTGGAGATGTTCAACATGGCAACCAGATGCATGAGGGCCGAGGAAGGTCGCCTCTCCCTCCTGGAGCTCCCGGAGGCCGATCAGAGGACAAGAAGGCCAAGACAAGGACATGAAGTGCAAGGGCCCAGCTATGCTCGTGGCTGAACCCAAGATGAAGCGCGGTTGTGACCACCCGAAGTCTTCCAAGGGCAGCCGCCCATTCTACATCTTCCACAACATGCATAGCCACAACACCAATGACTGCTAGGAGCTCAGGGCTATCCGAGACGGGCGCCTTGGCCAATGCCCCGAGCGCAACGACTGCGGCTACAGCCATGGAGGAGGCCGAGGTGGGGGACGCTGGGACAACCGCGACCCCTGCCAGGACTGGCGCGATCAGCCTCGTGAGGATCGCTGGCAGGGCCAGCCTCGCGAGGGCCCCTGGAGGATCAGTCTCGTGAGGACCGTCCTTAGGGCAATGCTGGCCTTCCTCCGCTGCCGCCACCACCAAGGAGGAATGACGACCACCACCAAGACGATGGGGCTGGGGGCTTCCAAGAGCCTCGTGCCATCGCTTGCATCCCAGGCGGCGCTGAGGCCCCCGCCTCCCATCACATCTTCAAGCGGTTCACTCGCAAGGTGAACGCGGCCCTCCCCAAGATGGAGGCAACGCATCCGCTCAGGTGTTCCAAGTACACCATCACCTTCGACTCTACTGACCACTCAAGTGCGCGGCCACTGCTGGCACGCTCCCGATGCTCTGCTCGCCCACCATCAGCATCGTCCTCGCCACCAAGACACTTATCGATGGCGGCGCAGGGCTCAATGTCCTCTCCATCGAGATGTTCGGCACGCTCCAGGTGCCATACGACCAGTGATAACCCACAAGTATAGGGGATCGCAACAGTTTTCGATAAGTAAGAGTGTCGAACCCAACGAGGAGCTAAAGGTAGAACAAATATTCCCTCAAGTTCTGTCAACCACCGCTACAACTCTACGCACGCTTGACGTTCGCTTTACCTAGAACAAGTATGAAACTAGAAGTACTTTGTAGGTGTTGTTGGATAGGTTTGCAAGATAATAAAGAGCAAGTAAATAAAAAGTAGGGGCTGTTTAGGTAAAGACACAACTAAGTTAGTTTTAGTAAACAACTTTTTGTTACGAGAAAGTTATTTGTCCCTAGGCAATCGATAACTAGACCGGTAATCATTATTGCAGTTTCATATGAGGGAGAGGCACAAGCTAACATACTCTCTCTACTTGGATCATATGCACATTGGAACTCTAGCAAGCATTGATACGTCTCCAACGTATCTATAATTTTTGATTGCTCCATCCTATATTATCTACTGTTTTAGACATTACTGAGCTTTATTATCCACTTTTATATTATTTTTGGGACTAACCTATTAACCGGAGGCCCAGCCCAGAATTGCTGTTTTTTGCCTGTTTTAGGGTTTCGAAGAAAAGGAATATCAAACGGAGTCCAAACGGAATGAAACCTTAGGGAACGTGGTTTTCTCAACAGATAAGACCCGGGAGACTTGGACCCTATGCCAAGGCACGTAACAGGAGGCCACGAGGTAGGGGGGCGCGCCCTACCCTACCAGGCACGCCCCCACCCTCGTGGGCCCCCTGTTGCTCCACCGACGTACTTCTTCCTCCTATATATATCCACGTACCCCCAAACTATCAGAACAGGAGCCAAAACCCTAATTCCACCGCCATAACTTTCTGTATCCACGAGATCCCATCTTGGGGTTTGTTCCAGAGCTCCGCCGGAGGGGGCATCGATCACGGAGGGCTTCTACATCAACACCATAGCCCCTCCGATGAAGTGTGAGTAGTTTATCTCAGACCTACGGGTCCATAGTTAGTAGCTAGATGGCTTCTTCTCTCTTTTTGGATCTCAATACAATGTTCTCCCCCTCTCTTGTGGAGATCTATTCGATGTAATCTTCTTTTTGTGGTGTGTTTGTTGAGACCGATGAATTGTGGGTTTATGATCAAGTCTATCTATGAATAATATTTGAATCTTCTCTGAATTCTTTTATGTATAATTGGTTATCTTTACAAGTCTCTTCGAATTATCAGTTTGGTTTGGCCTACTAGATTGATCTTTCTTGCAATGGGAGAAGTGCTTAGCTTTGGGTTCAATCTTGCGGTGTCCTTTCCCGGTGACAGTAAGGGCAAC